AGGTAAAAGAGAAAGCAAAAAGAAATAAGGAAGGAAGAAGGAAGGAAGGTAAAAGAGAAAGTGAAAAAAGAAAGAAAAAGAAAGAAGGAAAGAAAGAAAGAAAAAAGAATGGAGGAAGGAATAAAAAATAGAACAAAGGAGGAAGGAAGAAAATGAAAGAAAGAAGGAAAAGATGAAGGAAAGAGGGAAGAAGGGAAGGCAGGAGGAAGGTGAAAGAAAGAAAGAAAGAAAGGAAGGAAGGAAGGAAGGAAGGAAATAAGGAAGGAAGAAGGAAGGAAGGTAAAAGAGAAAGTGAAAAAAGAAAGAAAAAGAAAGAAGGAAAGAAAGAAAGAAAAAAGAATGGAGGAAGGAATAAAAAATAGAACAAAGGAGGAAGGAAGAAAATGAAAGAAAGAAGGAAAAGATGAAGGAAAGAGGGAAGAAGGGAAGGCAGGAGGAAGGTGAAAGAAAGAAAGAAAGAAAGGAAGGAAGAAAGAAAGAAAGAAAGAAAGAAAGAAAGAAAGAAAGAAAGATAACAGAGCTAGACTATGTAGCAATGCAATAAGGTGATAAATACAGAAAATAGAGAAAATAACTTGTTGCCAGATATCATCTTTCATGCAGCACCAACACTATTGGTATTTCTAGATTCTACTAGCAAAACATTCTCTTCATTTATTGTGTCTCTTGATGTGGAAAGCAGACACGGAGCATCTGAATGAGCTCAGAGGCAGCCTGGCTTGGCAACGTGCCCCCGAATACCTTTGTGGAAAAGATTCTAAGCCTCTTGATTTCTTTGAAGATGCTGGAGTGGAACGATTCGCTTCCTCTACAGCAGAGGAAATCCTGGTTTTTATGAAGTTCAAACGAGACAAAGAGTCTTTCCTTAAGATCTCTTAACATACATGAACGACACCCTCCGAAAGACACTTGGGGCGCGTTGTTGTATAGAGGTAATCCAACAAAGACATATTTTCTAGAGTAGGGATTATTGCAAAGACAATTAGAAGACTTGTTCGGTTCCAGGGTGCCTTTTGGGACTTTAAGGTAAAGGTAAAGGTTCCCCTCGCACATATATGCTAGTCGTTTCCAACTCTAGGGGGCGGTGCTCATCTCCATTTCAAAGCCAAAGAGCCAGCGCTCTTCGGACATTAATACAATTGAGAGAGTACAGAGGTATTTCACGAGAAGAGTCCTCCACTGATGGGAATCAACTGTACAATTACAGGTAGTCCTTGACTTACAATAGTTCATTTAGTGACTGTTCAAAGTTACAATGGCTCTGAAAAACCTATGATCGTTTTTCACAGTTACAACTTTTGTAGCATCCCCATGATAACAGGATCACAATTCAGATGCTGGACAATTGGTTCATATTAATAGAATCCCTTATGACAATAGAATACAATAGAATCCCTTCTGCCACTAGGGTTGAAATTTTGGGCTTGGACAACCTGGAACTACATTGCCTACGGTCCGACCTAAGTGTAGTACACAAAATTGTCTGCTACCACATCCTATCTATCAATGACTACTTCAGCTTCAACCACAATAATATTTGGGCAAACAATAGATACAAACTCAAGGTAAACCATTCCAAACTCGATTGCAGAAAATACTTTGGCAACAGAATGGTCAATGCCTGGAACGCATTACCTGACTCTGTTGTTACATCCTCAAACCCCCATAACATTAACTCTAAACTGTCTAGCGTGGACCTCACCCCTTTCCTAAGAGGTCCGTAAAGGGGGGCGTACATAAGTGCACCAGCGTGCCTACCATCCGTGTCCCACTGTCCCCATTTATTTGTACCCATTTCCTGTGTTCATGTCCATGTTTATACTTATACCTGTTATCACATACAATTTTGACAAACTTAATAAATGATAAATAAATACATAAATAAATAAAAATAAAAGCCAGGCAGTTGTATTGTATGCATAGTGCAAAGCCCGTATATTCGATTTCTAATTTCTGATTGACATCTCGTGGGCCAGTCAAGGACAGCCAAAGGGCAGTTTGTGGGTCCAGGGATTGTAAAATGCCCAGGTCTGGCATAGAGAGTTAAAACGCATCAGAACCAAAATATTTTTTTAATCTAGTGCAACCGTTCCCCAGAGCCTTCCCCAATGCGCACAATCCACACACTGTGTTCGTGCAGACCGCTGGAAAATTGCCGGAGGTCTCTGTAGACCAACCTTTCTGCTGATCTGCTATATATCAAAGCCCGTATAGAGCTCATCTTTTAATAATCACAGCTCTAACTTGTTAACGCAACAAGCGTGTCTGTTTTGGTGAGCGAAGCTGCGTGTAGAGAGGGGTGAAAGAAAAAGAAAAAAATCACAGGCTGTGCGCGCTGCAGCTTTGTTCACTTATTCAAAACGGCCTTGATCTCTGGCATCAGAAGAAGAGAACAAATCAAATATGGAATCAAGAAAACTTGCAAGGAGAGAAAGGAGATTCCTTTAAGGATTGTTAAGAAGTGAGTAAAAAAAAGAGGAAGACAGGTAAAAAGGTAAGGGCTCCCCTCGCGCATATGTGCTAGTCATTCCTGACTCAAGGGGATGATGCTCATCTTCGTTTCAAACCCAAGAGTTAGCAATGTCTGAAGAAGTCTCTGTGGTCATGTGGCTGGGATGGCTAAACACCACAGGTGCACAGAAAGCTGTTACCTTCCCACCAAAGGTGGTTCCTATTTTTCTACTTGCATTAAATATACAATAAATTTTTACATGCTTTCGAACTGCTAGGTTGGCAGAAGGTGGGAGAAGTAACAGGACCTCACTCCATTACGCGGCGCTAGGGATTCAAACCGTCTAACAGCCGACCCTTCTGATCGACAAGCTCAGTGCCTTAGCCACAGAGCCACCACGTCTCACAGGTAGCATTGTCTTATTTATTTCTTTTAAACCCCTCCATCTTCTTTTATCAAATATTTGCAGGCATAATGATGTAATTACTGAGCAAAGAATGTCTGAGACCAGTGTCACACTTAATATTCCCATTAATTTTAAATGGTAGGCCTTGGTACATACAGTATGTCTGGCAAATGGTGTCATATTTTAATTAGGCTTGCCCTACACCATCTGAAATTAATAATAGCACGAATTACCAGTGTAAATTATGAATTAACATTGCTGCAGCATTAGGAAATAAATTAGCTCTGGACAGCTGTTTTCTGCCATTGGATGACAATGGCAGAGAGAATCTTTATGCCTCTCCCACTACATAAAGACATATATATATATATATATATATATATATATATATATATATATA